GTTCAAGCCATCTCCATCCTCCCGGCTTTTAAAGAAATGACCGCCAGAGGGCGGTATTGGCCTATCTTTCTTCTTCCTAAGCTCATTAGCCACCATAAAGGGTGGACTGCACCAAGATCACCCTCAGCTTGGGGAACACCCCACCTAGACCTCTACCAACCTCTCCCTGGGCCACAGACATTATCCCTGTGTCAAGTCCCCAAATATCTCGAGACATGGCTCTTGTGACTGTTGCTGGCTAGGCAGGGTGGGAGAACCAGCAAGAGCTGATTGTCTTTCTAGGGAGCCATTTGTAGACAGCAGGCAAGCACTGAGACTGTATCTTACAGGTGAGAAAACTACAACACTATGACTTTTAACCAGTGTCTGACCTGATTTCCCATCACAACCCATTTCTACACCAAGAACCTTCTCAAAACCTGGGAAGCTATTTGTATTTTATGTGTAGCTAAAAGGACAAGCCTGTGGAGGCCCCATGAAGGACAAACGCCGAGGGCAGGTAAGGTATGAGCCTCTGCTAGTGTAATCACAGACTGTGGGACATCAGTGTCTCCCGCTCCCTGGAGTTCCTGCATCCCAAATGCAAACTGGGTTTTACTACATCTGCACGCCTGCCATGTAGTCCTGAGAAACACTCAGATGCAGCTGGATTTCTCCACTTTACCAATGAGGAAACTGAGGCCCGGTGCCATTAGTCTGCAATCTAAGGTGCCACAGTATCTTAGGAGTCCAGCTAAGAGTGAAACTCAAAAGTCTAACGGCAAAGCCTGGCCTCTCTTCTCCTTGTGTGTGCTTCTCGTGACCCACTGTCAGCCCCCCGGGGCACAGCAGCCAGGTGAGTTCTCACCTGCTTTCTTCATCTTTGTAGTTATTGGCCTGCCCTGTGCTTTTGTCCCCTGCCCTAAGCAAAAACACTGAATCCTCACTTTACCATGTGGTCCAGAGAACTAAGTGAACCATTGTTTGTGAAAATCCATGTTAGTGGGGTCCATCCTCTTGGTAGGTGAACTGACATCAGGTCTCTGAAGGTGTGGGACTGTCTACCTCTCAAAGTCAAGGCCTGCTATGACTGCCCCTTGTCATCTAGTTTGGGCGGGTATCTATGAGTCCATCCTTTCTGCAGAGCATTGGGTGCTGCAGGCTTCTGGACCAGTAAAGACAGCAATTGAATGCTGGGAACACAGCACAGAAACAGCGACAGACCCTTCCTTTTCCCCTCTAGGAGCATTGCTTCCAAGTGGCCAAAGCAAATATAGGAAGACACATGTTGGGCCTTCTGCCCAGAGCCATCTCCCTTGTCATTGCCTGGCCCCCGGGACTGGGCAGCCATCCTTCTCACGATCTGCCCTTTTGATAGCTTCCAGGCTGAGCTTTACGTGTATGAATTTCCTTCAGTCGCGCTGAGACCTATACTATTTCTGTCTCCACTTTATAGATAAACAAAATGAGGCCTTGTAAGATTCAGAAACATGGCCAAGATCACACGACTACCATATGGCAAAGCCAGGCCCAATCCCAAAGCCTGTGTTTGTAATGCTCTATTGTCTTGTCTCTGGTATGACACGTGGGGCTCAGAACATGAGAGCTTTCTCACTCGAGAAGACAGCTCTCTGTACTGTATTTAAATTAACTGCTGTCATCCCCTTCCTGGGTATGGCTCAGACCTACTCCTCAATCTTTTATTTATGTGTTTGTCTGCTTGTTTATTCCTATAATTAACTGGCACATATTTCCTCAGGCTTGAATTTCACTTCTGGGAATTTTCAAAAGGTCTAAAACAACTTCATCCATAAAGGAGTTGTTGGATTCTTTCCTCAGAAATCCCAGGTCTGGCTAGGCAGCTCCTGATGTCCATCCACAGTGCCTGATCCAGGGTTCATGAAAATCTGAAATGGACTTCCCTGGTCTAAGGGCTCGTCCTATGATGATGCACAGAAACCAAGGTGGTATGATTTCCACCCTCTGCCCTGTGGGTACCGGTCTCCTCAGACCAGATAGGCTTTCTTGGACATCCTGGGGGGAAAGAAACCAGAACTATATGTAACAAAGGAGACTCAGGTGTGCATGCCTCTAAAAAGATCTCCCAGCCAGGAAGAGCCTAAGGGGGGGTCCCAACATCTGCCAATGGCTGTGTGAACTATGACACTGAACATGTGCCCTCATCCCTTTCATTCTAATTCTTGCCCCTCCTCCCCTGGCCTGTGGCTGCCACGAGCCATCAATTAGCAGACAAGATGTAAATTCCAGGAGGGGCCAATCATGAATATCAGGTCCATAGTGACTATGGTAATATCCATCATCACTTCTCTGCGTCATGTGACATGATTTACTTCACAACCATGTTGTAAGTTTAAGTACTGGCCTTTTCCCCACTTTCACCTGAGGAAATTAAGCATGAGAAAAGCTAAGTTACTTGCTAAGGACCACCCCAAGGCAAGCAAGGATTGGCAGAGCTCAGAACCTGTGTTTGCTGTGATGTTAACGCTGCTTCTTTATAGTGTGAGTGTGTGTGTGTGTGTGTGTGTGTGTGTGTGAGAGAGAGAGAGAGAGAGAGAGAGAGAGAGAGAGACCTGAAAATGGCAATGGATTCCCTGGAGCTGCAGTTACAGGTAGTCATGAGTTGCCTAGTGTGGGTGCTGGGAACTGAACTTGGGTCCTCTGAAGACCAACCAGCACTTAGCTGCTGAGCCATGCCTCCAGCCCCTTTATCCCGACCTTTCACATAACATTCCCAAAGCAAAGCAGTAACATGATCGCTTTTCTCCAACCACTTAAACTAGAAATTACACAAAACAAGAAACCTCTCCATCCGAAAATCTTAATATTTATATTTATAGATCTTATCTTTGTGTGTATATAGATATTAATGTAAGTATGGTCTATTTTTAAAAAAACACACAGGGCTTTGACGTCCTTTTCTCCAAGTCTCATTAAAACATAGCCATCTTTCCACATTACTAATATTTAGTTAATAAATGTGCTTCCACCATCTATTTTTTTAAACTGCATCATTTGGAGGAGGCACTCTCTAACTGACGAGCCCTCACTGCGGACCGATTAGGTGAGCTATGGTTTTGTTACAGTGATAAGAAGCACCATGGAGGAGATTCAGCACCACCTCTTTACCCTGTTTTCTTCTGGAAGACGAACCCTGAAAAGTGGAGCTACACAATGGCACGGTTTTGTATCCATGTTTCTGGGCTCCCACAGGGTGTAGTTTTGAAAATTCAGGGCTCCACCCTCAGCTAGCTTGGCTTCCTAGTTGAGAGAGTAAACAAAAAAAGTGCTGTCTTGCTTTAGTGTTCTGAGAAACCGTGCCTTGGGAAGCTTTTAGATGCTGTTAGGGAGGTCCTTTCCCCGACTGGATGTGATGGAGACAGGAGGCTCCTTGGAATCTAGGGAAATCCCTTCCACACAATTACCTGAACCTCCTCGACAGCACCCGAACGCTGCCAATGCAAGCAATTCCGTGGCACTCACATTCATCACGCGACATGCGACATGACACAACTGTCCAGGAGGGAGTGCAGAGTGAGCCGGAGTCCTAGACAAGCAACCTCTCTCGGTGGTAGCAGCTTCTTCAGCCTCCAAGAAACATGCTATCTAAAGGAAGTGGGAAGACGTGGAGTCAGGAGAAGGATGTAGAGGCTGAGAGGCTGGGGGAGCTGTTACAAACACAGCTTGTATCAATTTTCACCCACCTGCTCCATCAGAAAGGTGGTTCAGCTTTTACCAGAACCTTATGAGCAAAGAGCTGCCCGGGAGGGAGGGAGACCGCCAGCCACTCCCCCAGGCTCAGAGCCGGTTGTGTGTGTAAAACCGGGAGAGGGAGGCTGGCAGAAGCCACCTTCAAGCTGGGATCTGCAACTGTTCCCCAAGAGAAAACTGGCTCTGTCTAAGCACCAAAGGGAAGCCAGGCCCGGTTGTAAGCCCTGGCACTGACAGGAGAAGGACATGGGCAGCTCTTGCATTGCCCCTCTGTGCCAGGGGTCTCTGCACAACAACTTCCACAGACATTAGATCAATGGAGAATCTGGGGAAACTGCTGTATCTTGAAGCTAGAAATAAATTTGAATCATAGATGGTCTTCTCATTTCTCCCTAAAATTCAATTCCCACCCTCTCCCTTTTGATGTTCTTTTTAAGAGCTCTGCTGCTCATCTTGGTGGGTTTCCAGGCCATGCTCACGGCAGCCCCCACCCCCACTGCCTTCTGCCTGCCTACAGTGTGTGTGTGTGTGTGTGTGTGTGTGTGTGTGTGTGTGTGTGTGTG